GATTTCGAATTCTAAATACAATACATTCGTTTGTGCCTATCTTTAATTCTTGATTCATATACTTCTAAGCATCACAGTGGCGTCGCGATGGAACTTGTAATGGAACAGCTAGATATTCATTCTACTTCTGAAGCTTTTGAAGATTATTTGGAAAGGTTTGAAATCTGGAGTATGACCAGGAAAGATGTCAAAGATGATAAAATTGTGGCTCATTTCCTAACATTCATCGGAAAAGAAGCGTACAGCTTATTGAAAACCTTGGCATATCCAGAAAAACCTATTTCACTTCCCTATGCAATGCTAAAGGAGTTATTATTGAATCATGTAAAGTGCCCTGGTTTTGAATGCCGTGAAAGAGCGAAATTTCATAAGATGATTCGTCGAAATGACCAAAATGTTAAGGAATTCATTCTTGAATTGCAGAAACAGGCTGTCAAATGTAATTTCGGTGATCAACTTCATGTGCAGCTTAGAGACCGATTAATTGCAGGAATTAACATACCTAGTTTGGAAAGAGAGCTGTTAAGAATGTCAAACTGTTCGTTTCAAGATGTTAGAACTGCGTGCATTAACTACGAGGCGTTGAATGAACTTGATATTCAGTCGATGAAGATTTCCAATACTTTGATTAGTTGTCATGATGAAAAGCAATCTCAGGGTCAATCAAAATTGTGTTCGTTTAACAGAGGTTCCTATTCTCGTGTAAAAATGAACGGTGTCTCAAAAAAGAATTACAAAGGAAATCAAAAAGGTGAGACCAAGTTTGGCAAATGTTTATCATGTGGAAAACTTCATTCTCGTTATTATTGTACATTTCGTAATGCTAAATGTTTTAGATGTGGTAAGATAGGGCACATTCAAGCAGTATGCAAAGCTACTGTTCATTTTGCCTCAAGTGGTGCTAAAGCTTGTAATTTAGATTCCAATAATTCAGCTGATCCTAATGATCATTTATCTTTAACTACCGTTTCAAAAGGTAATGCTCATATTCGAAAGCGACTATATACATCACTTGGTTCATGTCATGACTTTATTGTGGACACAGGCAGTATAGAGTCCATTATTTCATTCAAGAACTTGAAATCGTTAGATCCGAACGTTGTGATACGACCCACTGAAGTATCAATATTGGGGATTACTGGACACAGACTGCCTATACGAGGATGTTGTGAATTGCTAATAAGAGATGATAATTCCTCATACATACCATGTGAATTCTTAGTTAGCGAAACGGGACTGTCAATACTGGGTTTAAAGAATTTGAAAAGGCTTAAAGTGGAGTTGTCTTTCCTAGTTTCTAAAGAAAATTCTGATGCTTTACTTAAAGATTTGATAGCCACGTGTGCTAAGTGCAGTGGAGGTATGAAAATCCAGCCTATAAAACTTCAAGTACAGGGTGAACCAGTCTTTCTCAAAAGACGAATAATTCCTTACGGTCTTCGAGATGCAGTGCATAAGACTTTGAATGATTTGTGTACAAAAGGTGTAATTGAACCTGTTCAGTCTTCAGCATGGGGTACTCCTATTGTTACGCCACTGAAATCGGATGGCAAGACTCCTAGGATATGTGGTGACTATAGACTAACCTTGAACTCCCGTTTATTGAAGCAGACATGCACTACAGTAGAGGCTGAAGATATCCTAAATCGACTTCATGGTTCTAAAGTGTTCTCGAAAGTTGACCTAAAAGATGCTTATCTTCAAATCCCTTTAGATCAATCCTCATCTATTTTGACGACAATTAATACTCCTTTTGGTCTGTTTAAATACAATTTCCTTCCATTTGGGCTAAGTTGTTCTCCAGCCATATTCCAGGAAGTTATGAATAAGGTGGTTAGTGATCTTGAAGGTGTTGAAGTTTATCAAGATGATCTGATTGTTCATGGTGCTGATAAGGGAGCTCATGACCAGAGACTTATTGCCTTATTGCGTCGTTTAATTGAGAAGAATATTACAGTAAATCCAAATAAGTGTTCATTTAGTGTATCTAGTTTTGAATGTCTTGGATACCTTGTTGATGGTAATGGTTTTAGACCAGATATGAAACGACTAGCTCCACTGACAAATGCACCGTCTCCAAAAAATCTTACGGAACTACGTTCACTAGTGGGTGCTCTTCAGTACTATTCCCGTTTTATTCCTAATTTTTCTTGTCGTGCGAATTGTTTATTTAATATTTTGACATCCAATTCATTCAAATGGGGTGAGGAACAAGAGTCGTGCTTACGTAGTCTACTAAAGTTTCTTCAAAGTGGTGCTGTTCTTCGAACTTACTCCCCTAGTGTACAGTCTGTGCTTATCACTGATGCATCACCTGTGGGTATTGGTGCAGTTTTGGAACAGGAAGGTAGACCAGTTATTTGTGTTTCACGCAAACTTACTGTTACTGAACAAGGCTATTCACAGACTCAGCGAGAGGCATTAGCTGTGTTTTGGGCTGTTAAAAGACTTCATAAATATTTATTCGGAAAGAAATTTACTATTGTTACTGATCATGAGGCTTTGCAGTTTATTTATCATCCTGAAAAATCCTTAGCGCGTGCCTCAGCTGCTATGGTTCAACGATGGAGTATTGCTTTGAGTGCCTACGACTATACGGTTCAGCACAGGAGTGCCAAACAAATTCAACATGTTGACTACATTTCTCGACAGTCATTACAAGATAAACCTGTTAATACTTCAGACTGTTTGTTGGTGCAACCTTTACCAGTGAAACGTCCAGATCTCATAAGAGAAACTCGTAGAAACTTTGGATGTATAATTCATGCTATACGGAAAGGTTGGAATGCTAATCTGAAACGCAGATTCCCTATCTATTTTTCAAAGCGAGATGAGCTATCCACTACTCCTGATGGTATTTTGTGCTTAAATGATCGGGTTGTTATTCCTCCCTCATTGCGTAAAGCTGTTCTGGAAGATCTTCATAGTGGACATTTAGGTGTTGAGAAAATGAAGTCCTTGGCGAGGCTTACGTGTTGGTGGCCAGAGATAAATGCAGATATTTGTCGTACAGCAAACAATTGTGTAAAGTGTCATAAGCTGAAAAATCAGCATTCGAAGTGGACTCCATGGCCAGTATCGTCGGAAGCCTGGCAGAGAATTCATGCAGACTATTGTGGCCCGTTTCTTGGCAAATACTATGCACTTGTAGTCATTGATTCTTTTTCAAAGTGGCCTGAAGTTTTTTTCACAACTTCGCCAAATTCTGACTTCACAATTCAAGCATTAAGAAAGGTGTTTAGTCGAGAAGGGGTTCCAATGGTATTAGTGACTGATAACGGCTCTCATTTTGCTGCAGATGCAGTTACTACCTGGTTAAATGGTATAGGGTGCAAAAATCTGTTTACTGCTCCCAGACATCCTTGTTCTAATGGTCAGGCAGAAAATTTTGTCAGGACGTTGAAAACTGCTATTGATTCTATTGCCGCCTCAACATTTAATGAGCTGGAGAGGGGAGTAGATACCTTTCTACTGCAATATAGAAATGCCAGACATTCAGGGACGAAAGAGACTCCATCAAAACTATTAAAAGGAAGAATTCTTCGGTCGAATATGAGATGTTTGGAGTCTGCAGAAGTTACATATTATCGTGGCAATGATCTTCGACCATCCACGGGGATTGTTCTGAAGAATGTTGGGAAATCTATGGTGCGACTTCAAGATATCAATGACTTAAGTACACACAATCGACATGTTGATCAAATACAATTCCAGGAACCAGGTGAGTCTGTTCCGATTTCGGTTGTTAATTCTAATACTAATGAGAGCATTCTAGATAATACAGAGCCTTTATCCAATACACTGTCGGACAGACACAGGATGAATTTGAGAAGAAGACGTACAATTGATTACAGACATATACATTCCAATTTAAGCTGCGGCGGATGTGGTGTTTGAATGAACTAGTAACTTCTTGTTGTTGTGAAATGCTTGATTTCGAGTTCTAAATACAATACATTCGTTTGTGCCTATCTTTAATTCTTGATTCATATACTTCTATGTATCACAGTTCATCTTACCAGATTTATGTATTAGATTTTTATGTATTGTCTGGTTGATCAAACTGACGTGAAAAAAAAAGGCTGGAATCTAAAGTTCAATAGTTGAGCACCTTGACCTACCTATTTTACTGATAAATGAACAACAGATTTAGTCTACTGATCAATAGTTAAACGTGAACTTAGATACTTAGATGGAAAGATATCTAAACTTCATTAATTGAAGCTGGGTTAAAGCAACAATTATAAAATTACAAGGAACAACCCAAAGTAATGTTACCAAGCAACTGTGCATAGATTAATTGACTTAAAATATAAGGCACACCTAGAATATTAGGTTAGTGAAAAGACTACAGTGTTAAATCTTGGTAAACGAAATAAATTTAAACATAGTAATTGAATGATGGAAAGTCGATTGTTGAAACAATCAATTTATTGATGAGGAGATATCCACTATCTCTATAAACTCCATAAAACACATTCCTTGTAAATATATATCTCGATTACATCGTCATCAGACTTTACTCTAATATACGTGAATATTTATATGAAAATGTTAAAACCAATCAAGGTAATTTTAGTCAATAATCACAATGAAATGAAAAAGGCAAAAGTACAAGTGGATAGTAGGAAGATAGGTAAACCGATAGTAGTAGGAAAATTTATAAAATATGATAATTAAAGTAGGTCAAAGGTGGTTATCACTCAAATTGCCTTGATTGGTTTTAACATTTTCATATAAATATTCATGTATAGATTAGAGTAAAGCCTGATGACGATCTAATCGAAAACAATATTGTTCGCTTATATGTGTTGTTCTAAATATGCATCTAACAGTTTACTGTTGTTAGATAAATGAAGACAATAATACAAGAGATTTTAAGTTTTATTATGATTTTTTCGATCTACTAGGTATTGTCAATATAAGTAATTAAATATTATTTTTTGGCAAAAGTTTATTCATACCTCGGATTTTTGTTGACCACGAAATTCACGTTCTTTTTTTGAATCAGCATAAATATCACATCGAATATCATTGTCCAATGTTGTTATTTGTGATGATTGTAAATTACTACTTTTAAATTCATCCACAACAATAATTGAATATTCAGAGAAATATTGTTTTAATAAATCAACTAATAAATTGACAATAGTTGATTTACCTGAACAAGGATATCCACATAATAGAATTAATGGCATTTTGTCTATAGAATATGTGTAAGAATATTATAATAGTCACCAATTGAATGCCATTGTTTATGCTATTATCAAATAAATAAGAAACAGATTTATAGATTTAAATATTTTAAAATATAAATGAAAAAAAATTCATGTTATACTACTTAAATTTAAGTAATAAGCAATTTATTTGTCATTCTTTCATAGATGATTATTATTAGTAGTAGTATAAAAGCTGTTCAACATAAACTATTTGAATGTATGAAGTTCAATGAATAAATTTTTTCAACTCAAACTAGAACTGACACGGACCATATAGATTTTTGTAATGAGTGTATTACTCTACGTTAAGTCATCAATTCTAAAGGTGTATTAATAATTAACATCTAGATAATATTTCAGTTTGAATAGAATTCTTTTTCCTAATGAGGGAATTGAAAATTAGATACTAATTAGTGATATCAGTCAGTTAATTGAATGTATGATCATAAAACCTAAGATAGTGTATGAGATTTGTGTCTGAAGCAAATTTTTTGAATAATCGAACTAGCTATTTGTATCGGGTAGGAAAAGATATTATCTATGTACAGTTTGAGATTTTGAAATCGATTGAAAAAGTATTGCTGTGTATTATAAGGTGCTTCACTCCTTCAGTTTAACCTTGAAGTCACGAACTTTTTACTGTCAGTGTTTCGTCAATTTTCTATTGAAAAATGTAGCAACGTGAACTAGTAAGTGGTCATATCATTTTGTAAAACATTACAATTATACTTAAGTGATGAATACTGTTAGGGGCTTGTATTTGTTAACAAGATTATTTTATCATGTATATTCAATTATTAATGGTTTGCTAGTTAGTTGGGAGTTCACCATCAAAATATTTCGATTTATTTAAAGCACCTCTTACGTAGGCTGGACTGCTTTTACACTCAAAGTAACAATCAATAACCACTGCTATATCCTGTTATTTCAATGAAAATAATATATTTATTAGTTTGTATTTTCTTGTTGTCGATGTTAAGGCTTGCAATTGATCAGTCTATATAGACATATGTGCATCCTGAATGGATCTGTCAGAGACTGTTGAAGAAATAAAAACCAGGATGCACATTCCGACTTATTTTGTACTGGTAGACAGATATATCTGTATCCTAAAGTTGATGTTCACACCGCAATCCCATTCCTAGTCACAACGGAACTTCACTAAAATTATAAATCTATTTCAGGAAGTATTAATAGATGATATACGAATAGTAATTATTCTTATCCTACAAAATTGAAACTGTTCACTCATATTATCAGAAAACTGTTTTAACAGTAAACATAATTGTGACGTAGATTTAAAAGTATGATAATCAATTTGTACAATTCACAAATAAACTATCAATCGGATTACAAATAGATTGTTCTTTGTTTTCAGACAATACTTATGAATATACTGAAACAGGTTTTAAAGTTACAACTGATTGAAACAAACTGTTATGACTTTATTTTAAGAAACGCTTCAGCCAGATGTAGCTTAGCTTGTCGTTAAAGTGCACAGAATTATGTCAACAGGTGTATTGTTTGAAATCCAACGGAAGTACATGATTATATTATTATATTACATAAGATTGTTATGGGTAAATGGTTGATTGTGTTTTGACTAGACGAAACTTCGACTGTTAAAATTGATTGATAATGAAATGAAGTAATGGCTAGTCATGAGATATTATCGACTTAGTCCCCTGAATGGTCAAAAATCAAAGACAAGGTCACTAGCTGAATGAATAGTTCGTCATGTAATAAAATCACATGTTGATTTACAAAACATAAACACGAAACGAATGTGAAAAAATGACACAAGCGATTGTAGGAAATTAGCCTGTAGGCCACTCAATCTCCAACAATGAATTTAGAACACCCAATCTTCAGGCACCGTGTCACATATAAACAAGGACGTATGCAGATATATATATATATATACAAGCTCCCACGTATGTACCAAAAGTTGATTTATACACAACTAACAGTTATCAGCAATATTCATTTAAAAAAAGACAATATTTTTGATAGTAAAAATGTTGAATGACAGGTACATGATACATTCCTATAGCTTAGGGTTGTAGTGATCAGTAATAGTTAGCCAAGGAAAAAAATGTCTTCGTCTTTTGGATTTCATATATGGCTGAAAATAAACATACTATCTATCAAACCATTAGATGAATGTAATAGACAAAAACAGTCAAAAACGTAAAACATACTAAAGAAGACGATCATGTATAATAATACTAAACACAACTGCAGCACATTAATCAATCCAATATGAACTGGATAGTTTTAGATGATGTAGCCAAGAGTCGAGGTTCATCGCTTGCTATTGAGTTATAAGTTTGAAGTCAATCTAGTATCTAATACTTGGAAAGTTTAATGAAATATATGGCTTTGTAAGACAGATATAATTTGTAAGTGTGATAGTAAGAAATATATGATATCATAGAGTAATAATATTTTTAATCATTGATATTTTTATTTCAGGCTATGATTGGCAGTTATACTGTAGAAAATATTAGCTTATAACATAACCAATGTTCATTATAAATCATACATCAAAACATTAACTTCCAAAAATAGGAACTGCGTGTACTTTATCGTGTCATTCATACACTTTTTAGTAATATTTAAATAGTTGGATGAGACAGTTTTTTTTTACGATGAAAATGACATGATCCAGTGGACGGATATTAGTAAACCTAAAAAGTTATCTAGTTAAACAATACGTACAAAGTTGACGAGTAAGCATTAATCTGATGATAGTTATAATAAATACTACATGTAGAGGGGGATCTGTCTCTCTCGATAACCTTGGACATCTGATAACTCAACCCCTCAATTGGAAATGGACTGACATATAAGATGCTGTTGAAAGTTTTAAGAAACAGAGTCAATTTTATTTTGTTGACATTAAAAAAAAAATAGCATTTGTTAATGTGGAATAATTTATTTGTCAGTGTTGTTTTAATATGTTCGACACTGAAAGTAACGGTAAAGTTTCTTTTTTGTGTATGCAGTTAGTACATGAAGAAAGATTTATAAGATAGACAACCTATGCTTTAATTTAAAAACCAGTCATTTTAACCGAATATTTATCACATACATAATATCAAAATATTAATTATCAAGAACACGTTTTACATATTAGGATAAAGAATTTAATTTCAAATTTACTGTACATGAATTATATTGTAATCATCAGCATCTAAATATACAGATAGATTATAGTTTAATAGACCCATAGAATGGAAACTATGAAATAATGTCTTTTACAATAAAGAATAGACAAATGCATTTTACTCAATCAAAAGAACAAAAAAGAATTCTAACCACAATCAAAAATACAAAATACATTAAACATTTCAGTCTGGATAGTGATAAACTTTTACAGTAGAATCGGCCGATGAGCTTAAAATATAATGCATAGGCTTATCGTTAGCAGGTAATTCAATTGCCGGCGCCCAATCAACATCTGTCACAATATCAGCATGTCCCATTAAATCGTACAAAGAGGAGCGAGGATTACGTGTATCCCATAAACGAACACTACGATCAATTGATCCAGACACAAACTGATCATTTCGATGAGGTGCCCATGCAACTGAAGTCAACCAGCCCGTATGTCCTTGAAATCCGGAAAGGACTAAAGGTGCTTTATGAGAAAAATTTGTGCGGAAAAATGAAATTGAGGAGTGTTGAATTATGTACATATATTCAATTCAATATTAAAACGAAAACTCGAAATTTAAAAAGATATAGCTGGGTAATGGGTAGAGAAACAAACATATGAATAAAAACATCCAAGTCATTAAAACAATCATAACAAGAATTCTTATCTTTGCGCACCGGGTAACACTAGTCAAAAAAATCATATCTTGATTTGACTACTTCTCTTAAAGGTTACTTATACGAAACCTATTAGTACCTTTATTTATCGGTTATATTATTCAGTCTATCCACCTAGTTGTTCTAACTTATTAGCATTACGGGGTGAGTTTAACACGATAAATCACAGAAAAGTCGAAATAATATTAGTAGCATTGATTACACACTGAGAATATGGATCGGAAATAATGTATATATGAAGATGATACGATGAACAAGAAATAGGTGGTAACAGTTAGGTTGGTTGGAGTAGGTAACCTATAAACTCGTTTCTTCCAATTATTCATGAAATGCTTTTCCTTGTGTCAGTATTTTGTCGATAAAAATGTCATTTTATTGCACAAAACATCTATTCTTTGTGTCAATGGTTTTTAGTTTTGGTAATCATATGGGGACTTACGTCAACCAAACAGTCTTGTGAGAAGCTATTACTTTGCTGCACTTCGTATTAAAGTTTAACATCTACTGGTAAGCATTTTGTTAGTTCATTTTAAAGATCGAAAATTCCGTCTCGCCAATCAATAAATATCTCTCCCATAAGTACAGAAATGGTATACTGTGCTGTAGGTACTGATAGTGAGTGACTGTATTTAGGCCAGTGAAAGGGGCTCTGAGCAATGTCACCCGATCGTGAGTACCGCAACTAGGTAATCTGCACCTACTAACATGGTTCAAACAAACAGTCAATAACTACATGGACTGATGTCATATTTTTGTTTAGGCGGCTACAAACTTTCGTCTAATCTATTCCTGTACATCAGGACGGGTTGCAGTTTAACATTCCTACCATGTTTCAGCTATCTTAGTCGATTGATACCTATAGTCAAATATTGGTAACTTATGAATATTCTATATTTTCAAAGATTATATTTCATAGCTATACATTAAGTATGGTTGGTGACTTAAGTAATGCTGTTTCCCTTATGATATCAGACTTTTATTACTTTGCTCAGGTGGAAGCTAGTTTAGTAGGTTGGGGAAAGTAGGGGATAGTTGGACATAGCACACTTCTAAGCCGACTCAGTCAATAACACCTCGCAAATCTATTAACCGATTTATTATTTCTACATCTAGCATTATCATTGGTCACTTCGTGATTCCACTAGCTACAAAAAATAATTATGAAGTTTTGTGATCGAATAGCTCCAGATTTAGTTGTCGGACCATATTAGCACAGAAATGCGATTGTCAATTCAATCCTACAGAACCCCGCCTGTAGACGCTTCGGAGCTACTGCCGGTCCCAAGCCCAGATAAGGGAGGAGGGTTGGGATTGAAGTTGGCGACCTCATCACGCAAAAAACTAAATCGTTAAAAACACGCTAACAAGAAAAATTAATTCAAATCATATAAACCCTGCTCTGGGAATTAGAAGGTCTTCATTCAGAACAATTATGACGTCTCATGATGAAAGCCGAGTTCCTTCGGAAATCATGAGGCCGATGCCCCTTCTGACAACTACAACCCTTCCACGGTGTGGGCAGCCGGGAAGTAACATCCGACTTCATACCCATAAAAGCACAAGCGACCAAATTCGTCACAATCAAATCCTTTCTACACCACCTAACAACTCTCTCATCCCATTGACCAACTCTTCCTTCGATCGTTTGTCACCTCGCGCCGCTGCGCTCACGATGCAATTGTAAAAGTATTTACATAACATAAGTTGGAATACTTATAAGCACATTCATCAATATGTCTAGCTTTTTGAAAGTTAGATTAAAGACAAAAAGTATGGTCACATAATAACCACTTTTCAAAAAAGCTCATTATATAATAGGATAATGCTTACCTTCAGCTCGTGGATCATATATCCGAATACAGTTATCAGAGGAAGCGGTCAAAATACCTCTGTCATTGACATCTGCATCATGCAAAGCATGGTTGGAAAGTATACACCGAACTTCAGCACCAGTGTTACCTTTGGCTGCTTCACAATCCCAAATGCGTAAACTGTGGTCCCAACTGATAGACAGTAGCTGGTTTCCGCTAGACTTTATATCACTGCCATTGGTAAGAGTGGAGGGCAACCAACAAATGCGTGTGACAGTTTCCCGATGTCCAGCTAAGGTGAATAACGGGATCTGAAATATATATATTTAAGTGAAAAAATATAACCCACGAAATTACATAATCAACTGGAAAAAACAAGTATAAGTATGTTGCAAACTGTATGCCAACAAAAGGTGCATGAAACAAGTGAGTAACAATCGGTAAAAATCATTGTCATTACTCCTCATTAGGACTCAGTCGTTCCAGGTTATCATCAGAAGACATGTTAGGATATTCATCCAGTATCCTAAGAGAATTAATGGTCAATTCCTATTGGTTAATTGCTACTGGTCAATTTTATGGTCGTCCTAAATATCAATGTCACATACTCCAATGTTGTTTCTTATTGGTTGTCCTGACTATCAATGTCACTTCAAATGTTGCTTCCTATTGGTCGTCTTAACTGTCAATGTCACAGAATTCGATGCTGTTTACTATTCGACCAAAATGTATAAATACGCATTATCTGTACAGTTTTATGACCAGGACTAGGAACCGGTCCCGGATCCCTAGTCCGGTATCCTGATTCTCTCCTGGATTCGGACCTCGTACTTTCTGGATGCTTGTCGTGTCACTGGATCCTTGATCCTCGCTCTCGTTTTCCGTCTAGGTAAACTCGTAATAGTTCAAGCATATCAAGTTGACGTGTTTACGTGCAGGCGTAACAGGACATTCAATAAATCAAATAATCTATGACAGTTGAGAAGTGCAAACTGACATTTGCAACCAAAAATGAGAGACTGTAGCAAACACATGCACACAAGAAACTGACAAAAGAATATGATGAATACTAAAAATAATCTTACTCTAGTAGGAGTTTTGCTCGTTGATTTTCTCACATGTACGATACCACCTGTTTCTTCGGACAGATCTGTGGGTTCAGTTCCTTCAAAAGGTCGAAAAAAGTTGTTCAGTTAACTTATCACTAACTGGTTCGACGAAATTTAAGAAACATTTTGATAAAGTATTTTTTAGCTAGGAAATTACCTGCTGACCATATCTTGATAGTTGTATCCCAAGATCCTGTAGCGAAATGTGTTGCATGAATATCAGAACTATTAGACAAGCGTGCAGCTGCGGTCATCACAGTCTCAGAATGTCCACGACAAACAGCAATACAATCAACTTTATTTGAATTAAGATCCCAATGCCATATTTGAGCTGTTTGGTCAAAACCACCAGTCACGAAAACTGCTTCGCTTTTGTTTTGATCTGAAATATTTTTGGAAAAAAATAATATATTAACAACCAAAGTTTGTTTATAGTTAAACTAGAATCAAACAGATGGTTTGCAAAGTTTAAAAGAAAATAAAAGCTAGCTGTTAATCAAAAAGCAACAGACAGATCAAATATATTTTTTAGGTGATGTTGGAAAGCTAATGACAAAGACATTAACTTATTCCCCCCTTTATGACATTCTTTGTTAGAAGGGTTTCTCAAAATAGATAAGTACACAAAACACAACAATATAAAAGTTTGTGAATTACAGTTTAAACAGCACCAACTGTCTAGGAAACACATAAAGTAACGAAGTATAGGTTCATAAATTTGGGTTTGAATCACATAATTCAAAAGTCTGAATCAAAGTGAGTAAAGCATGGTACAAAAGTAAAGCACACAAGATGAGAGTTAAGAACTTGAACCACGGCTCTGAAATTAACTCTGTCGAGAAGTTAATGATTTCGTCAACTGAGTATCATAATTCACAGCTTTATTCCAACTCACTCGTATACCAGCAAACATAGTTCATTGAGGTAGGTGGTAGCTCCAGTTAATGAAAGTTTACAATTTCATCAACTTATTTATCACTTGAGTTTGACCTCGACATTGCTCACTCAGTCGTTTTATAAAATGTGACCTATGATTAGAAGATCCGAATAAAAGTTCCAAAATAAACAGCTTCTTGTAATTGACTCTCTTTACAAATATGAATGAAGCTAGAACAACTGAGGTAGGATGATATGAATTTAGCGTATATTGTGGTTTCACATCAGCTGCTTATTACCACATAGGCATTAAAGTGTAACACTGAGGTATAATATAATATGAAGCAATAGGAATTGATGACAAGAATCAAAGTGGCAAACGTTACCAATAATAACTATATTTATATATAAGTATCTGTTCAAGAACGAGAATATATAGAGATGAAATTCAAGATAGTAAATGAAGGAAGTCTGGAAACAAACAAAATGGGTCGTGTAACGACAATAGAAGCTGTAAAGAGTTAACATGAGTTTAAGCAACTGAATGAGTAAAATATCCGATAAATGATATGATAATTTTAGCGTATATGAAATAAAAATTAGTTTAGTGATACTGCATAACAAAATAATAATAGCAATCACAAAAATAACGATTGCTACCGATTCGGCAAATCGAAGGGATGTTACGTCTTTTTGTATGCTGATAATTTTGAAGGATTGGGTGGTGTCAATGGTATTCCCGGTATTAATTAAATAACGAGATATAAACCCTGTTTTACAGGAATAAAGTAATAGAAACAGGACTTTTGTGTAGTATAACTGCTAGTAGTCAGTAATTTACAATGTAGAACTAGGTACGTACGTACATCAGTTCAAGTTGTCATACAACATTAGCACCTAGAGATCGAATTGTCAATTCAAATACGATAGTAGTAGAGGTGATAGAAGTATTAGAGGTAATCTCGAAGGTATCGCTCCTGAAGCATATCCCAGTGAAATAAATTTAATGAGAGAAAGTACCTACAACCCTTCCACAGTGTGGGCAGCTGGGAAGTAACATCCGCCCTCATACCCATAAAAGCACACGAGACCGAATTGGTCGCACTCAAATCCTTTCTACACCTCTTAATAACTCTCTTATCTCCCCGACCAACCCTTCTTTCAATCGTTTATCACCTTACGCCACTGAAGCAAACGGTACGAGCTCACGAAACATTATTCCTGGTCACCTGAAACCCCGTTCTAAATTACATTCAGGAGCTTTTAATGTTCGGACCCTATGACAAATAGGGTAACAAGCTTCATTAGCTAGAACTCTGGAATCCCAGGCAATCGGTGTATATTGCGTCTCCGAAACGCGCATACAAGATCCGACTAAAATCAATTTGATTTCAAATTGTGAAGATAAAGACAACACGGTTTACTCTTCGTGTTTAAGGTAGCCCTGATGCTGCTATCCATGGCCTCGCTGTTGTAAGTATAGTATTAAGTACCAGGGAAGAACTAGCTCTCCTAGACTGGATCGCGACAGACAGTCGCTTGTGCGCTATCCGACTAAACGGGACTATACGGACTCGTAAAGATAGGGAAACGCGCTGTCGCCTCTTCGTCATATCTGCCTACGCTCACACAGACTGCAGTTCAGACGAGGTGAAAAACGAGTTTTACAGAAAGCTTTCGGACCTCCTCCAAAAAGTTATGCGCTCTGATATAGTAATAATGGCTGGTGACTTTAACGCTCAAGTAGGTAGACTAAGTGAGCAGGAAAGACACCTGGGTGGATGCTATGGTGTCGCGGCTCAAAGGACAGATAATGACGACCGTCTGCTGCAACTATGGTCAGATAACCGCCTATTTCTGGCAAACACTAACTTTAAGAGTAAGGAGAAACATCTCTATAAGTCATCGGTGGAGAGGCTCTATTGAAGACTGCCACTCATTCTGGAGTACTTGTTTAGACTCAGACCATGCTATAGTGCGAGCGCGTATTTGTTTGAGCCTTACTGGACGCAAGAAAAATATCACAAGGAAACCTGTTAGGCTCTACTTAGTCATAATAAAGCTAAGAATATATTTCAGGAACAACTAGAAAAAGAGTTAGGCAGTCATGTAAGTGATTCCCATCCGGAGGCAGCTTGGAATGATATTAAAAAGACTGTGGAAACAGCAGTGATATCTGCTAGGAAGGTAAAGCATAAGGTTAGGGAGAAGCCGTGGATTTCAGTAGCATATACCGAACTGACGGATGCTCGGAATCTCATCCCGCCTGTAAGCAAGACTATCTCGGAAAAGGATGGTTTAATTATTCATTCTCAATCCAGGAGACTGGATCGATGGGCAGAACACTTCAGGGATTAGTTCAACTGGCCTTCAGCCACACTTCGGTTGCCCACAATCTCCAGTCATCCTGAATGGCAAATCGATATAAGTCCTCCGAACCTTTATGAATTCTAAAAAAACAGTAGGAAATCTGAAGCGAGGGAGAGCAGCAGGGCCTGATAGGTTTACCCCTGAGGTTTTCAAGGACGGTGGTCCAATTTTAGCAGCTAGATTGACTGAGATCTTAGGTCGAATCTGGGAACTGGACGTAATCCTATCCGACTGGTCTCAATCACTGATTGTCCCAATTTGTAAGTGTTACGCCTGCACGTAAAAACGTCATTTTGATATTCTTGAACTATTACGAGTTTACCTTAGTCAGAAAACGAGAGCAAGGATCGAGGATCCGGCGACACGACATGCTACTCTAATCCGAGTATCCCAACTCCAGTATTGAGTAAAAAATAAGACTTGATATGAAGTAGAACCTGTATTTTACAAGCATCCAGAAAGTACGAGGTCCGAGTCCAGAAGAGAATCAGGATTCCGGATTAGGGATCCGGGACCGGGCCCTGGTCATAAAACGTTACAGATAATGCGTATTTATACATTTAGGTCGAATACGAAAATGCATCAAAATCTGTGACATTGACAGTTAAGTCGACCAATAGGAAACAAAATTTGAGTAACATTAACAGTCAGTCAGTCAGATGCAACGTAGAACTTCTACGTAAGTACATCAGTTCATGTCGCCATACCACATCAGCACAGAGATGTAATTGTCAATTCAAATCCAATAGTAGAAGAGGTAGTAAATGTATTAGGAGTAATGGGAGAGGTTAGGATTACAAGATATTATTCGAGAAGTATGATTCAGTGAGAAAAGTTTAGAAAGTCAAAACTAGAGGGGTTGAAGAACCCAGAAGATTAGGATATGAGAGAACACAGAGAATAAATGCACCGGCGCCATTGCGAACGATTTTGAGCCATGTCATTCAAGGTCTCTAACCATCTAACAGTCAGGACGACCAGTAAGAAACAACATTGGAGCACGTGACATTGATATTTAGGACGACCATAAAATTAACCAACAATTCTCTTAGGATATTGGATGAATATCCGACTGGTCTCAATCACTGATTGTCCCAATCTATAAGAAAGGACAAAAGTCTTCTTGTGACAATCACAGAGGAATAAGTCTAACTAATATAGTATCTAAAATATTGGCCTCATTAATACTTCGGCGCCTAACGAAAGCTCGTGAAGAGCAGACTCGAGAAAACCAGGCTGGTTTTCGACCTGGACGTGGTTGTATAGACCACATCTTCACACTCAGACAGGTCCTGGAACACAGACACACATTTAGGCGTCCTACAATAGTTGTTTTCCTGGACCTGAAAGCGGCATTTGACTCTGTGGATCGTGAGGTTCTGTGGCAGTGCCTGTCATTGAAAGGTGTACCAATGAAGTAAATAAACCTTATACAAGCTCTCTACTCAAACACCACTGGTCGAGTGAGAGCTTATGGCGAACTGTTTTTGGAATTCTCTACATCAAGTGGTGTCCGTCAGGGATGTCCACTTTCTCCATTCTTGTTTAATTTTATCATAGACATGCTCTTAGAAATAACCTTATCCTCGTCTGAATTTTCTGGAGTAGACCTTCTACCAGGTGACTCGCTTATTGACTTAGAATATGCCGATGACATAGTCCTACTTGGTGAAGACGCTGACAAAATGCAGAGTCTTCTGACCACCATAAGCAACAATGCAAGCATGTTCTGGATGCGGTTTTCCCCCTCGAAATGCAAAATGTTGCTTTAAGACTGGGTTGCATCGGCACCTGAACTAGTGATTGGGAGTGAAGTAGTCGAGTGTGTTCACCGCTTCACTTATCTCGGGAGTCTCATCAGTGCTGATGAAATCTCAGCTCGGATACAGAAGGCTCGATTGGCTTTTGCCAACCTGCGTCACTTATGGCGTAGGCGTGATATCTGTTTGCTAACCAAAGGACGAGTGTACTGCGCAGTAGTTCGCTCCGTCCTACTATATGGCTGTGAAACATGGCCAGTGAGAGTAGAAGATATTCGTAGGTTACTGGTTTTCGACCATAGGTGTCTTCGAAGCATCGCTCGTATATCGTGGGACACCCGAGTGAGCAACGCTGCTATTAGGAAACGGGTGCTAGGTAAGAATGGCAGATCAATAGATGAAGTAATGAAACTTCATCAGTTGAGGTGGTTGTGACATGTGTTACGTATGCCTAACGACTAACTGCCTCGAAGAGCTATTTTTTGTGGTGTAGCAGTAGGTTGGAAGAAAGCTAGGGGCGGCCAGACCAAAACAAGGCAGAAATCCATGAAGTTACTGACAAGTGGACCGAGTCATGTCAGTAGGTATCGACTATGTGGTTGGGGCCCACGAGATACTTTAAGTACGCTTTCTCCTGATAATTAAAATTAAAAACGGTTAAAGTTCTTGAGAACTGTCTTCTAACCACATAATTTTAAATAGTACTGAGTGGACTGGGGTCAGCTCGCCTAATGATATCACCATGTACCTAAAAAATAAAATTTTCCACTGGTGACAATCAAGTAGTATAACTTATACCAGTCACCATAACGTGACTATAAATCCTGAATTCACTCCTGAAACCAAGCAATACGAAAAGCATTTGTAGTCCATAATAAGACTGCCAGCATTTTAAAACAGCATGCAAACCACTTACACTTGTAAGTCATGGTAAACCTAAAAAACATTCAGAGGTATATTGAATTTACATATTATCATAACCACAAAGACGTTTACAAAATCCAAGAGGACAAAAGGGCACTTACTTAGATTGATCCATTCCACACATTTAACTTTCTCCTCCAGTTCCATAGATAATATGGCGCTTTTACTACTGAGGCTCCATATGTGCAGGGTACCATCGTAACCTCCTGTTAGAATGCTAACAACAAAGAACGAAAAATAATTCCGGATAAAAATGAGGCAAGTTCCCGACGAACAGCAAAGCATAATGTATAGTTTATGTGTTTCGGTGATAACCTATTGTCTATTCTTATGCGGTAAAGTGCAGAATCAGAACATTTTAGCATCACAGGCATAATTTAAACGTGTTTTCTATCAGTCGTACATAAGCTGGAATATAGTCGTATACCAGTGTGGTGGATACTGTTTACGTGACCACTAAGAAGTATGAGGCGGAGCGTGGCCCAGAAGTTACTAGAGGAGAGAAGACTGTCGGATCGGAACGTGTGGTGCGACCCAAGTTATACGAAGACCAGAAGATATGTGAAAGAAGACAGCTAATAATCTTTTTTTGTTTTCCAATCGGAAGTCTGAAGATAAGGTGCGCACACTTTGTTAGTGAACAGTATCTTCTCTCAGTATATTATTATTCTTCGTTTATTATAACAGTACACATATTTATAGTCAATTTGTCGCCTTAAATATTACATCATAGTCGTTTGGAGCGGTGACTTAATGGTTAAAATATCCAACTTCCGAAGAGTGAAATACATGTTTGAATAGAATTTCACCTACTTTGGAGGACTGCAATACAACTACCCTTTAACGAGGTTTTAAGTCAAGTACATGAACCTTTATAAGGCAGACGAGAAAACACAAAGTTATGTGTTAAGCTACTAATTAGTTATGATAACAACATATGCTAAGAAAATTCTACCACATTATAGAGAAGATAATTAAAGCGGGGTTGCAGATTATTGAAATCTGAAGACCATATATATATATAAAATATTTAACGAAAGGAGTATCTCTTGGGGACCAATATATACATAACTGATAATATAAATATTTGTTTCTTTGTTTGTGAATCTCGCGATAGTGGGACTTGCGAAGTCACTAGCTGTGAACTTACTTTTGCAAGTAGCCCAAGTCGCTTAGTTGATGATTTTATTCTAAAACACATTCAGTTATGAAGTAGAAGTAACAGATGTCTAACATTAGATTCCAATGCAACTGATATTAATTGGACAGAGATGTCCACCGTAAGTTCTGAACATTTTTGATAATGATCTCTTAAGGGCTTTAATGAAACTTGTTTCAGTACGGAAAGTATCCGAACCCACACGTTTAGGTCCAAACCGAGGATCTTCATTGTTAGTGATCACTGATACAACCTAAATGTTCTCCCACTGTTATCTAACAACGACCATACTGTTTTGTTATTTATTATTGTAACATTATATAATCAGGTCTGACCTAGTAGAAATGTGTATAGAGAGGACACAACAGCCATGCGGTAGTGTGCTACAACAATGGACTGATTAGTAGATACTAGCTTATCAATTAAAGAAGCATGGTCTATATTTAGGGGTACATTTAGCTCAGTTATGTCCCCATCTATGCCGTGTTTAGTACCATATAGACCAAATAACTGACTACCATGGATAACTTAAGAGGTTAAGAAACTCCCTCGACGTGAGGAGAGGTGTTGGAAAATTTCCATCTCTACAGGTTATGAACAGTGAAGATCTACTTATTGTAAGACTAGTAGAGGATACAAAGGGTTGATAAATAGAGCTAGACATTTTTTATAAGAAGCAATTGGTTAGGGATTCTGAAAATAGTCCAAAAGCTGTTCTCATAAATAAAGAGACCAAATCAGAGAAGTGATAAGATCCTTTCGCTTCTGATCCAAGAAGATCTGTTGATATGGACAAGAAGTTATGTCAAAAAAAAACAGAAGCTCTAGCAGTGTTTTCTATCGACGATCGTGAAAAATCATTCATCACAATAACGACGGCTTTTCGACGGATACCACAATTATTGAAAGGGGTTGTCTTACGATTACTTTAGTATCTTGAACCAGACTACTCCAGCGGTCCTGACGATGTTCATCATAAGATCAAAGAGGCTTTGGAGTATGAAGCTGCCGAATTTTTAGCACTACTGAAATGTCTCTGAGGCAATCTAGTCTAGTCAGTAAAATTAAAACCTAGTAATTATTGTCCCGTTAGTATGTCCAGAATAGTCGTAAAATTGATAGAAAAGATTATTCAGATGATTACGCTAGACTATGCAGAAGAGAATACTATGAACGATAAGAATTCATATAGGTCGACTGACTTATTCTGATTACTGAAGACTAGCGCCATGAATGTTGCAATCAGTTTGATTATGGAAAATTCGAGCACGATCGGAGAGTTCCAAAAGTGGGTCTTTAAGGTTTTTATCTAACTGGATAGCCAATAGTCACTTATTTTTGAGAATCTGCTGCCAGATAGAAAACGAGTATTAAACAAACGAATTACTTATAATAATGTTACACACCCTCGATTACTGCCGGTTTGCAAAAAATGTTAAATTGGAGCTTTGTTTCATAGTTTGACACTTATTTAGAAAATAACAGTACGATGACTGGATTACATAATAACCACTTACTACTTGTCACAACGTCTGACGCAGCTAATGAAATCATCCTGGACATATTCTTTTTCATATTTTGGTGGGTCTTGTTTAGGACAAAACTCAATGTCAATAGTTTCCTAAAGTAATGACAGGTTACAGAAAGACTTACTGAGGTAACTTCTTTTTCTGATAAGTATTCCTGCAGAGTTGAGACTAAAATGACATTATCCACAAGAAATGTAAATTCCGGATACGTCTTAGACTCCCTACTTTCTGAACAACGATATGTAAAAGAAGTATATTACCATCTAATAGAACTTTGACTAATTTATTGAGTTCCTGAACAGAAGTTTGCCGTGGTACTGAAATAGGTGCAGAAGGAACGGCATACCTTGGAGGTGTTTTACAATCATATTAGATACCTACTGTTTGGATTTCGTATAAAAAGTAATTTGGACGTCCTGATCCATTGGTACACGCCAAATAGTAGCACACGAGCCAAATGCACCGCCGTAAGTTATCCAATATAGAACATATCCTTTTCACTAGTTAGTGTAAGCGGATTGGTTTTTCTGAGTTCGCTTCTCGTTTTGTCCATACGGTTTCAGGTATTTGGTAATGTCCAATGAATGTTAGTCTCACCAGGCGACTGAACTAATTCTAGTCAGTTTGGTAGTCAGTTATGAAATGGTAGGTCTTGTAATTTAAGTGAGTGTGTCTGTTTCAGGGTGACGGAATTTTTCGTTACTGGAAGCTGTATTATTACTAGGCCGAATGTCAGTCACTTGCAATGTGGCGATTGAGTAAACTGAAATGGTACAGAATACTTGCTTCGGTGGTTTGCAAACTTACTTAGTTACTTACGCCTGTTACCCCCAAGGAAGCAGAGGCCGCCAACCAGTTTTCGCCATTCAACTTAGTCCTGGGCTTCCCTTTCCATTTTCGTCCAATTTTTGTTCATTCTTCTCATGTTTTTCTCTATTTCTCGGCGTAATATGTTCCTTGGCTTTCCATATTTCCTTTCAACTTGAGGGTTCCATGTGAAGGCAGTTCGGTGCTTTTCGCAGTGTGTGTCCTGTCCATTTCCACAGATTCTTCCTGATTTCATCCTCCACTGGAATCTGGTTTGTTTTCTCTCAAAATACTTTGTTGCTGATGGTGTTTGGCCAACGAATTCGAAGTATTTTGCGAAGACGACTGTTAATAAATACTTGTATCTTCTGGATGATGGCTTTGGTAGTTCTCCAAGTTTCCGCTCAATATGGTGGGAATTACTTGAAATTTGTGATGAAAATCCTGATTTTGGTTGAAAGTTGTTTGGAGTTCCAGATATTTTTCAACTGTAGAAATGCAGCCCTTGCTTTGCCAATCCGTGCCCTCACATCTGCATCGGATCCACCTTTCTAGTCGATGATGCTGCCAAGATATGTAAATGTGCAAACGTCCTCCAAGGCATCTTCATCAAGAGTGATTTGGTTGGCGCATGTTGTGTTAAATCGCAGAACCTTGCTTTTCCCTTTTATGTATTTTGAGACCTACTGCTACTGAGGCTGCTGCTACACTGGTCATCCCTCTTTCAGAATTTTTGCGTTTGCGACCGAAGAGCCTGGAGATTTGCGAAGTCCACATCATCTGATGGCCGTGCTGATCTCTCCGATTGTAGGTGCGCCAACATCAAATGTGAGGTCTGTAGATGATGCTTCGATTTCTGGTGGGTTCAGTGGAGCTGGTCGATTCAAGAGTTCCTTAAAGTTCTCTACACACCTATTTCGCTACTCCTCAGTGTTGCTGATTACTTTGCCTTGCTTACATTTCACTGGTCGTTCTGGTTTACTATAGTTTCCGGCGAGATCGTCCAGCCGCGTCCTGACTGTCCAGTTGATACCATGCCTTCCTCCAGATGTCGACGTCTTCATGATCCAGTCGATGATCAGGAGAAAGAGAAGGGAGGAGAGTAAGCAACCTTGCCTGACACCGGTCTTCACCTCAAAAGAGTCTGTCAGCTGACCTCCGTGCACTATTTTGCAGTTGAATCCATCATAAGAATTCCGTATGATGTTAACTATTTTCTCAGGCACACCGTAGTGTCGAAGAAGAGTCCACAGTGTTTTCCTATCCACGCTATCGAATGTTTTCTCGTAGTCGATGAAGTTGATGTACAGTGGTGAGTTCCATTCAATTGATTGTTCCACAATGATCCGTAATGTAGCAATTTGGTCAGTACATGATCGATCCTTCCGAAATCCGGCCTGTTGATCTCGAAGTTGGGCGTCTACGAAGTCCTTCATTCTGTTTAACAATACTCTGTTGAAGACTTTGCCTGGTATTGAAAGAAGAGTGATGCCTCTGTAGTTCTCACACTTGCTTAGGTCGCCTTTCTTTGGTATTTCGATCAGGTATCCTTCTTTCCAATCTGATGGTACTTGTTCCTCATCCCAAATCTTCTTGAAGAGGATGTTAAGTGTTTTCGCAGTTGCTTCTACATCTGCTTTCATTGCCTCTGCTGGAATGTTGTCTGGTCCTGCTGCTTTGCCGTTCTTGATTTGTCTGATGGCCATACTGATCTCCTCAATCGTAGGTGCGCCAATATTAATTGGGAGGTCTTTGGATGCTGCGTCGATGTTGAGTGTGTTCAGTGGAGCTGGTCGATTCAGGAGTTCCTTAAAGTGCTCTACCTACCTGTTTCGCTGTTATTCAGTTTTGTTGATTACTTTGCCTTCCTTGCTTTTCACTGGTCGTTCTGGTTTACGATAGTTTCCGGCCAGCTTCTTTGTTGTTTCGTACAATTGTCTCAAGTTTCCGTCTCTTGCAGCCTTTTCCGCCGTCATTGCTAGATCTTCCACATATTTTCGTTTGTCAGCTCTGATGCTCTTCTTCACTTTCCCGTTTGCTTCTGTGTGTGCAGCTTGTGCCTTCACTTTCTCTGCTCTTGTTCGGCTCACATTGATTGCTGCCTTCTTGTTCCTCCTTTCTTCAATTTTTGCAAGAGTATCAACAGAGATGGTCCTTCTTGTGACCCGGAACTTCGTGACATGTTGAAGTGATTGCCTCCTTGATTCCTTTCCAATTGTTCTCCAAGGTTGCTTCCTCACCGCTGAGTCGATCCTGAAAGGCCTGGAACCTATTGGTGAGGATTATCTTGAATTCGTTGAGTTTTACGGTATCCCGAAGAAAGGCCGTATTAAACTTGTGTGATGTTGTCTGTCCCGTTGTCCAGTGCTTCTTTAGTTTCAGTTTCATTTTGGCGATTAGCAAATGGTGATCTGAGGCTACATCAGCTCCTCTCCTGGTTCTCACATCCTCCATAGTCCTTCTGAACGTTTTGTTGATACAGATATGGTCAATTTGGTTCTGAGTAGTGTGATCCGGTGAAATCCATGTGGCTTTGTGAATGCCTTTGTGCGGGAATATTGTGCCACCGATGACCAGTTTGTTGAAGGCACATAGGTTTGCAAATCTCTCACCATTTTCGTTTCTTTCTCCCAGTCCATGTCGTCCCATGATGTCTTCATATCCAGTGTTGTCCATTCAAACCTTGGCATTCAGGTCTCCCATAAGAATCGTCAAATCCTTTGGTGAAGATTTCTCGACGATTGACTGCAGCCTTTCGTAGAATTGATCTTTAACGTCGTCATTGTAGTCATCGCTGGGTGCATAGCATTGGATGACGTTCATTGTAATATCCTGTTTCTTTGTTTTGAAGGATGCTTTAATGATCCTCGGCCCATGAGATTCCCATCCTATTAGTGCCTTTTGTGCATGTATGGACAGCATCAGTGCAACTCCTTGTGTATGTGAAGCATTTTCCTCTTCATGACCAGAGTATAACAACAGTTCCCCTGAAGCTAGTCTCAGTTGTCCTACCTGTGTCCAATGCGTTTCACTGATGCCGAGCACCTCGACGTTGTATCTTTTCATTTCTGCCGCAACTTGAAATAGTCTTCCATTCTCCCACAATGTACGAACGTTCCATGTAGCTAGAAGAATGGTTGGTGTGGTTGTGAGAAGAGGCATCGGCCCCGTGACTTCCGAGGGAACTGGGCTTTCATCACGCGACGTCATAATTCTTCCTCCAACTCGCAGGGCAGATTTCAAGTGATTTGATTTATTTTTTCTGGCAAGCGTTTTTTTGGCAAGTTAGTTTTTTGATGGGATGGGGTCGTCAACCCCATGTCCAACCCTCCTCCTTTATCCGGGCTTAGGACCGGCAGTAGCCGACAAGGTTCTATAGGCGGAGTTCGAAAGTTAACTTGTATTCCCATTTATAGCGAGACCCATTTTAGTCTCCAATAATAAGGACAGTAAGTAGGTCGATTTATAGTTTTCCTTTCAGTGAATAATCTCTTATCAATGAGGCTGAAATGCTTTAGTCGATTAGCTTTAATCAGACGCGAACACTGTTTTCGAATGTAATATCCTAAATAAGTCTTCATATAGGTTGAATATAACACCCGTAACTAAACTTTGTCATGCATTTAAATGTTCTATAACGTGACCATAACACTCGAAAACATTTAACAGCTGAGTGTATGGCAGAGAACATTTGTTATCGTGATGATTTGTGGAAAAGATATTCTACGGTATCCAATGTTTATCAGAGCTCTTTTACTATAAGTGATTTGCAACCTTCATCTTTTGTAGAATATGATATGTTCATTTAGATCAGCTTGAGAATCAAAACTATCAGTTTCTCTCTTATTCTTCAGACTATTGTGTCACATAGAGTTGATAACTCTAGCAGTCATTATAAGGCACTGCTACAGAGTTTAATTGAACGGATATGTCAGACGTCATTTGATTTCTACGTTTTATTCTAAGGCCGGAGAGTTTCTGTACAGTTCCGAAGTGCGAAGATTTCCATACTCCATCAGTAAAACCTCGGAATATTGAATCAGTTGGCAGGTCATTATTGGGAGCCATTGCCTAGTTCCCTCTCGAAAGTAGTAAATCGGTCAGCCAGGAACGTCTATTATGAAAACCTGCATAGTGAGATTGAAACTACTATTCGGGAGATAACCAAGTAAAATCCCGTTCGATCCAGAAATCAGAAAGAAGACCATAATTGGACGAAGAGGTGTATTGATTCATTTTCTCGTGATATCGAAATAATATCGAGACTGGAAAAAAAAGCATCTAAAAACCACCGAGGATAAACGCGGAATGAGAGTTACACACTTGGCGTGAGAGTTATGGTCTTTAGTACAGTCAAACAAAAGGAGCACAATAGAACAATTATTGTTAGTATTAAGTAAAATAATCAGTGTTTCCATTTCAGCGATTGTGTCCTCTGCGTAAAAGTATACCACTACCACCTGTTTAGCTTCCAAGTCCGTAAATTGTAAGAATCTGCTCGGTCTAATAATTTATCAGAAACATTTTTGAAATACCATGACCATTATGTCATATAGACTAACGAGTCCGTAGTTAAAAACGTTCAAAATTATAAATTCTATGATAGTAGTTTTCATTCTGGCAAAGGGACATATAAACCATATGGAAGAGGGATTC